TCGTCGAGGGCAGAGCCACGTGTCCTCCCAGGCACCCACGGGGTGACGGGCGCAGCAAAGGGCTGCCTGATGGTGCGCGCAGCCCGGCTTCGCCTTGAGATGATGCTAGCCCTTGTGAAAACAGATAGCACTCAAGGAATAACTAATTGGGTAATTAGCCTAATATTCAGAGCCTGGCAATGACTCGCTGAAGGCCCTGATGAGCCTCCTGAGAGACTGGTTACCTTCCCACCGCCATCCTTGTCCCCGTGCCCTCAGCAGCTCACCTTACCTTCTCAATGAGGGTCACGAACTGGTTGTTGAGCAGCTTGATGTCCTCTTTCTCCTGCTCCCTCACAGCCTGGAAGTCCGAGTCGATATCGAGGTGCACGGGGGTCAGGAGCCTCTCGTCGATGGAGAAGGAGGGGTAAGAAGAGCAGCGGTATCCGCCGTCTCCGTGGAGGCTGAGGGAGCCGTAGCCGCTGGGTGCCAGCCCCGTGGGGGGCCCAGGTGATCCGGGGACGTGCTGCCTGCTCGTCCTCTGCTCATCTTCCCTGACACCTCCCAAGAGGAGAGGGAGCCACTGGTGAAGGCTGCGCAGGGGTTAGTCATGCTCAGCCCGTGGCTCTGCTGCTCAAGGGGAGGGGAAGGGAGGGAAAAGGGGAGCAAAAAAAACCAAAAAGAGACGAAGCTTTCTTGCTGCTGCTGCTGCTGCCTCAAAGGGAAGGAGAGTAGTGGCACGCTGAGGAGTTTGGTCGGCTTAATTCCTGTCTCCTCAGCTCGTGGGTTGGCTAATGAATTACAAGCACCTGTTCTCCTATGTTCATTAAACGGAGGAGGGTGTAACCGTTGATGTAATCCAGATCAACCTGTTGGCTTTTTATTTTTTTTTTTCTTTCCCTCCTCTGTCTGTACCCTCCTTTCTTCAGGAGCTTGTTTGTGTGGTGAGGGCATAGGCACTCGCAGCAAAAACAAATCACTCCCAGGTAATTCGCCGGGCCCCAAGCAGCTGCTTTCCTCATCCTTAAATGGTGAAGAAAGCAGTCGGAGGTGCTGGGCTGCGGCAGGCTCGGGCAAACGGCTCTGAGCACGGCTCCCACACCAGGATTTGGCACGTGGAGCCTGGGTTCAGCCCCTAGATGGTTCCCAGCCAAAATCTGTGTGATTTATTTTATTTTTTTCATGGAGGGGAGCGTTTCAAATCACAAAGAAAGAGTCTGAGTTGGCTAAAGGCAGGAGGTTGGAAGCACGGCTCAAGCTCATCGTGATTAGAGGTGCTCGTGGTCTTCCTTCGACCGCGTGAGCACGTCACGGAAGCTTCTGGTGTTGTGAGTGTTTTAGGGATGATAGGTCTGGTTTTGAGACCCCCGGGTATGGGCACAGAGAGTCCTGAGGTGTTTCAGTCACCTGGTCTGGCCGCAGCAGAAACCTTCCACACCTCTAGACAGCGAGCTGGACCTCAAAAGCGCCCAAGTCCATCTTTGACTGCTGCACTCCCACTCCTTGAAAGCCCTTTAAAAGCTGGAGACACCAAAAACCACTGTCTTGGAATGAATTCTGGGCAGCTAAGGTGGCACGCCCTTAAATACTTGTTTGGACCTAGGTATAAATCAATGTTGGACTTTCTCTTGAAAGCCTTTTCCTGCTTTAACTCAGTTTCTCGTGTGAAAAATCAGGAGAGAGGCAAACAACACCCATTGCTGCCTCTTTTTTTTTTTTTTTCTGTTCTGTTCTTGTGATGTTCTCAGGAAAGGGAATGGTCATCTCGGGCTAAAATTTGGAATTTCCATTTTGTGGGAAAGCGCCTGTTCTGGTTCTGCCCCACGTTGGAAGACAAGCTGGGACTTTCCCTGCCAAGCGAAGTGAAAGAAAGCTTGGATCTGTCACAGACCTGCTTCAACACGAAACGTGTCTGATGATGTAGTTGTTTTTGACTTCAGAAGGGCTTTCAGAAGGAAGATGACCCGTTCCGGTAGGGTTTACGTTTCTTCAGGCGTAGTTTCAATATTTTAGCAAGAATATTGTGCTTTCACGTGGCATGTCCATCTCACCAAAACACCTTTTCCGAGGAAAATGTTTCCCCTGGTTGTTTGTTCGAATACCCAGTCCCTCACCCAACGGATCCTTGTCAGGACTTTTCACTTTAGTCCTGATGGCTTATTTTTAAGGATTAAAACCGAATTTATGGCAGGGAGATGACAAAGTTCACGGCTCTTCCCAAGGGAGCTGAGGTTATCTTGCACCGTGGGCTGCTCGTTTGTGGCTTTGTGGTTGGAGGCACATCAGGGTTCCTGATTAGCATCGGGACATGGGGTCACCTGGCAGGTTTTTTACTTCTTCGTCAGGTACCGAGGGCAGTTGTGATGACTCCCTGCGAACGATCCCTCTGAGGGAAGGACATAGAGGTGAAATTAGACCGGTTCCATTTAACAGTGGCTGGGAGCAGTGTTCTGCGCTGAGCTAGGCGGGATGTTGCACGATTCTGTCCTGTAAGGTCCCAGGAAGTGCTGCTGGTCATTGCATCAGTACCCACATCTGCCTGAGCATCAACCCCTACTCTTTTCTCCTCTAAGTATTAATTATTTCTCTCTTTTTTGTTATTTTTTTTGTGTTTTGCTCTTGAAATGAGATTTCTGACGCTGGATCCAGCCTGTGAGGGTATCAAGTCGGGCTGAAATAGCATCTCTCAGGATGGAATGGCACAAAAAACCCCTCTGCATGATCAGATCTAAGTGTAATGTGTTGCTTGATGCCTTTTGAGTCCTGGTTCCTGCACGGCGTCGTGCGCTATATCCCACATCCTCGCTATTAGATGCTGGAGGCGGGAGGCAAATCGCTCTGCTGCAGAAAGATGCAGAAGGATGATGGTTTAGGATCGAAGCCGCCTTTAATGCTTGGGAAAGGCAGGGTGGAAAGCCATTTTTCAGTGGGAATGGAGAGGCTCCTCTACTCTGAGACGAGGAAGGCTTTTCCAAGTCCTGCCTTCTTCCAGCAGGATGGGCAGAATCACAATGACCCTCAAAGGAAAGCGTTTGCAAGTGGTCGTCTCTGCTGGCAGGCGGCATGAGGAAGAGCTTGCAGAGAGAGGATGAACCTGCTTCCTGACCTTTCCTTTCCGAGGCTGAAGTTCCTCGTGTCCCACCTGCTGGGCAGGGCGGTGAGGTGGGGATCCAAGCTTGCCCTGGTGGGAATCACAGAATCACAGAATGTTGGGGGTTGGCAGGGACCTCTAGAGATCCCCCAGTGCCACCCCCTGCCAGAGCAGGGTCACCCAGGGCAGGTCCCACAGGAGCTTTTTTGAAAGTCTCCAGAGCCGGAACTCTCTGGGCAGCCTGGGCCAGGGCTCCGGCACCCGCACAGCCAACAAGTTTCTCCTCATGTTGAGCTGGAACTTCCTCTGCTCTAACTCAAACTCATTATTGCTTGTTCCATTGCTGGGCACCACTGAGCAGAGATTGTCCCCTTCCCCTTGACCCCCACCCCTCAGATATTTCTCTACATTAATAAGGGGGGACACTGCTCCTCCAGTGGCCATGGGCCCCCCTAGTTCCCTAATTGCTCCCTGGCAATGCGTGATGCTGAAATGATAAAGCTCTCTGGGCTTGTAGGTGCAGAACCCTGTCACCCCATGCTGGCTTTCCAAGGCTGGAGAGGGAGGGCTGCTCTCCGCAGTGGCAGCGGAAGCTTTGCCGCATGTTTCTGTCCCTCAGGGGACACTGCTCCTCCAGTGGCCATGGGCCCCCCTAGTTCCCTAATTGCTCCCTGGCAATGCGTGATGCTGAAATGATAAAGCTCTCTGGGCTTGTAGGTGCAGAACCCTGTCACCCCATGCTGGCTTTCCAAGGCTGGAGAGGGAGGGCTGCTCTCCGCAGTGGCAGCGGAAGCTTTGCCGCATGTTTCTGTCCCTCAGTGTCT